AAAGATGCACCAAAACACAACAAAAACATATATAAGAGTCAAGTAACTTCTCTTATATATCCAGTAGAAATAGTGAGGAAGCCTTTTGTGCAGAGCCTTTTCGGCAGCCAAAAGCACGAGTGATACCTTATACTGAGTGATCAGATTACAAGTGCAGTTTAGCCTTGTATGATTGTAATTTTCTCTGGTGATAATAAAATCCTCTCTCTCTCGTTGGCCCGTGGACGTAGGTCAGATTAGACCGAACCACGTTAAATATTGTGTTCTGAAATTTATTTTATTGTCTATTATTACTAACAACTGGTATCACAGCCCAAGGTTGAAGGAGGTCATATCTTGTAGTATGCTCTGTGGTTGCAGCTTAGTCTGATCGGCCACATCAGAAACAAGGTTGACCGTTTTGTGTACGACAGATTTATATTCTAGTATACAATATTGTTCTTTCGAAGTTATGGCGGAAGATGGGAAGGTTAAGATCGACAAATTTGATGGTCACGATTTCGGTTTCTGGAGAATGCAAATCGAAGATTATCTCTACCAGAAGAAGTTACATGAACCACTGTCCGGAGAGAAACCCGAAGATATGAAGGAGGAGGATTGGGACTTGTTAGATCGGCAGGCACTTGGTGTGGTGAGATTATCATTGGCAAAAAATGTAGCTTACAATATTGTCAATGTAAAGACTACTCATGGGTTGATCAAGGCCCTATCTAACATGTATGAAAAACCTTCAGCAGTAAATAAGGTTTTTCTGATTCGACAGTTAGTAAATCTAAAGATGAAGGAAGGTGGCTCGGTGACAAATCATGTAAATGAATTCAACTCAATCATCTCAAGATTGATTTCGGTTGATATTGGATTCGAGAATGAAGTCGAGGCGTTGCTACTATTATCATCTTTGCCCGAAAGTTGGTCCGGTACGGTGACAGCAGTTAGCAGCTCAACCGGAGGTGCTAAGCTAACATTCGAAGGTATTCGCGATTTAATCCTTGGTGAGGATGTACGCAGACGGAGTGCCGGAGAATCTTCCAGTAGTCTTCTTAGTACTGAAGACAGGGGAAGAAGGTCCAATAGAGGAGGCGGCGGTAGAGGAAGATCAAAGTCGAGAAAGAGAGGTCAGTCAAAGAACAGGTCGGATATTACCTGTTGGAACTGCAAGGAGAAAGGTCACTTCAGAAATCAGTGCCCGAGGCCTTCGGCAGATAAAGGCAAGAAGGAAGTAAATATGGCAGCAAATTTTGAAGGTGACGCGCTCATTTGTGCGGTTGAAAACTCAATTGAATCCTGGATCATGGATTCTGGTGCGTCGTTTCATGCCACTCATTCCAAAGATGTGATGCATAATTTTAGACATTACAAAGGAAATGTTCGATTGGCTGATGACAAGAGTCTAGATATCACGGGAGTCGGAGACGTGGTTCTCAAGACAACTTTAGGCACGAATTGGACTTTAAAGAATGTGAAGTTCATTCCAGACCTAAAGAGAATGTTGATATCAGTGGGGCAGCTTGATAACGAGGGTCACCATGTTACATTTGGTGATCAGCAATGGAAGGTAACGAAGGGAAACTTAGTTATTGCTAGAGGTCAGAAGCGGGGTACACTTTACATGGTGGAAGCTGATGACTCTGAAGTACATGCTGTAGAAGAAGCTGGGGCATCTACTCTATGGCACCAAAGACTTGGGCATATGAGTGAGAAGGGAATGAAGATGCTAGCCTCCAAAGGAAGAATTCCATATCTGAAGACTGTAACAGTTGATTTCTGTGAGCCATGTGTTCTTGGTAAACAGAAGAAAGTTACTTTCGTGAAGACTGGTCGTCCACCCAAGTCCGGGAAGTTGGAGCTAGTACATTCAGATGTTTATGGTCCCACTACAGTTTCTTTAGTGGGAGGATCCCTATATTATGTTACTTTCATTGACGACTGCACAAGGAAAGTTTGGGTTTATTTCTTGAAGCATAAGTCTGAAGTTTTCAGCACATTCAAGAAATGGATAGCTATTGTAGAAAATGAAACAAACTTGAAAATCAAGTGTTTCAGATCAGACAATGGGGGCGAATACAGTAGCAAAGAATTTGTTGATTATTGTGCTGACCAAGGAATCAGAATGCAAAAGACGGTTCCGGAGACACCTCAGCAAAATGGAGTAGCTGAGAGGATGAACAGAACATTGAACGAGAGGGCTAAAAGCATGAGACTGCATGCAGGTTTACCCAAGATGTTCTGGGCAGATTCGGTCAACACAGCTGCATATTTAATCAACAGAGGACCCTCAGTTCCCATAGGGTTCAAGATTCCAGAAGAGGAATGGCAAGGTCGAGAGATTTCGCTCAAACACTTGAAGGTATTTGGTTGTGTCTCGTATGTTAAAGTTAAAGACTCGGAGAGAGACAAGCTAGAGGCAAAGGCAAGGAAGTGCACCTTTATAGGTTACGGGTTGGATGACATGGGGTACCGCTTCTGGGATAATGAGAATAAGAAAGTTATCAGAAGTCGGGATGTGGTGTTCAACGAAAATGCTCTATACAAGGATGAACTTGCAAAAAGCTCCAATGGTGACAAGCAACCAGAAAAGAAGGATCAAGTTGAGTTAGAAGAAATCTTAGACGATGACGTTGTAAAACCTATTAGTACTCCAGAGATAGGTGAAAGTTCAGGAAGCAGTGGGAGCTCCGATGTATCTGGAGATAGTGGGAGCACAGTGGATAGTAGTTCAGAAGATGAGGTTGCAGATGATGCAGAAACCGAAACTCCTATTATTCGTAGATCCACTAGATCACGAAGACCTCCAGTAAGGTATTCTCCTTCAACTAATTACTTGCTGTTGACTGAGAATGGTGAACCTGAATCTTATCCAGAGGCCTTAAGGATGAAAGATTCCATACAGTGGAAGACGGCTATGGAAGACGAGTTGAGCTCACTTGATAAGAACCATACTTGGTCCTTGGTCAAGCTCCCGGCAGGGAAGAAAGCACTGCAGAACAAATGGGTGTTTCGGGTCAAAGATGAGATTGATGGCAGTAAAAGATACAAGGCCAGATTGGTAGTAAAGGGTTTCCAACAAAAGAGGGGTGTTGACTACAACGAGATATTCTCCCCAGTTGTGAAGATGACTACAATCAGAATGGTCTTGGGAATTGTAGCCTCTGAAGATCTCCATCTAGAGCAGCTAGATGTGAAGACAGCTTTTCTCCATGGTGACTTGGAAGAAGACATCTACATGGCACAACCAGAGGGTTTCCCAACAGTTGGCAAGGAAAACCTGGTGTGCAAATTAAAGAAAAGTCTGTATGGATTGAAACAAGCTCCAAGACAGTGGTACTTGAAGTTGATAGCTTCATGCAGAGGAGTGGGTATCACAGATGTGAAATGGATCATTGTTGTTACTTGAAGAAATTCAACTCCTCATACATCATCCTGTTATTATATGTTGATGACATGTTGATAGCTGGGTCCGACATGCAGGAAATCAACAAGCTTAAGAAGCAGTTGTCCAGAGAGTTCGAGATGAAGGACCTAGGGGCTGCTAAGCAGATATTGGGCATGAGCATAGCCAGGAACAGAGTTACCGGTACATTAAAACTTTCACAAGCTAAGTACATCAAGAAAGTTTTAGAAAAGTTCAGCATGGCAGATGCTAAAGCCAGAAGTACACCTTTGGGAAGTCAGTTGAGACTCTCAAAGAAGCAATCCCCAAAGACGGAAGAAGACAAGAACCAGATGACTAAAGTTCCCTACGCATCTGCAGTTGGCAGCTTGATGTATGCTATGGTATGCACCAGACCAGACATTGCTCATGCAGTGGGAGTTGTGAGCAGGTTCATGTCAAATCCAGGAAAAGAGCATTGGGAGGGAGTAAAGTGGTTGTTACGCTACTTGAAAGGAACATCTGAGGTTGCCCTATGTTTCAGAAGAAAGGGTGTGATCTTGGAAGGGTTCGCCGATGCTGATTTGGGTGGATGTGTGGATTCAGGAAAGAGCACAACAGGTTATGTGTTCACAATTGGAGGTACATCAATCAGTTGGATGTCCAGGTTACAAAAGAGTGTTGCTCTCTCAACCACAGAAGCAGAGTATATGGCTATTGCAGAAGCGGCCAAGGAGCTTATATGGTTGAAAACGTTCTTATTAGAACTTGGATTTCAACAGGAGGATTGTGTACTGCATTGTGACAACCAAAGTGCAGTTCACCTAGCTAAGAATCCGGTGTTTCACAGTAGAACGAAACACATTCAGATGAGATACCATTTCATTCGAGAGTTAATCAGTAATGGAACTCTACATCTGAAGAAAATCCTTGGAACGAAGAATCCAGCAGATATGTTCACCAAGGTGGTTACCACTGACAAGTTGAAGTTATGCATGACTTCAACTGGCCTTCCAGAAGTTTAAGGAGGAAGGCATGGCAGATAACGAGAGAGTGTGTGTGTGTGTGTGTTGCAAGAGCTGGATGATAGAGAAGACCGTATGGTTCAAGTCTCCAAGTGGGAGATTGTTGAGTTAATTGGTGGAGACTCACCATTGTCTCCTACCCACTCCTCTTTCCATAAATTACTCCTTGATTTGCTCCACTAATTTCTCCTCTTTATTCCTTTTCATCTACTATAAAAGGAAGCATATGTTGAAGGGAAAAGATGCACCAAAACACAACAAAAACATATATAAGAGTCAAGTAACTTCTCTTATATATCCAGTAGAAATAGTGAGGAAGCCTTTTGTGCAGAGCCTTTTCGGCAGCCAAAAGCACGAGTGATACCTTATACTGAGTGATCAGATTACAAGTGCAGTTTAGCCTTGTATGATTGTAATTTTCTCTGGTGATAATAAAATCCTCTCTCTCTCGTTGGCCCGTGGACGTAGGTCAGATTAGACCGAACCACGTTAAATATTGTGTTCTGAAATTTATTTTATTGTCTATTATTACTAACAACATGCTCTCCTTCTTTTCAAAGCTCCCCTTCAAGACCCTTATGGATGGTTCTCATCATGGATAGCTGATGAACATAACTGCTGTAATTGGAGTGGAGTTACATGCAGCAACCAAACAGATCATGTCACAGAGCTTTATATTTCCGGTTGTAGTCTTGAAGGTGAGATAAGCCATTCATTGCTTAACTTAACCTACTTGAATCATCTTGATCTTTCCTCAAATTCTTTTCATGGAACCATTCCCACTTTCGTTGGTTCTTTGACTCAGTTAAGGTATCTTGATCTTTCCTACAATTCTTTTCATGGAACCATTCCCACTTTTATTGGTTCCTTGATCAAATTAAGGTTTCTCAACCTCGGCAACAATAATCTTAATGGAACCATTCCCACATCTGTTGGTTCCTTGACAGAATTAAGGCTCCTTTCCCTTTCCAGTAACTCTTTTTTATGGAACCATTCCTCCATAGTTTGGAAACCTCACCAACTTGCAATACCTTTCCATCGAAGATGTTGAAAGGTGTAGGGTTGAAAACATAGAGTGGATGTCTCGTCTCTCTGTTTTGGAGGAAGTATATATGGATGGGATTTCCCTAGCCAAACAAAATCACTGGGTAGATGTAATTCTGAGTCTCCCAAAACTATCATGGTTAAGTTTACATGGATGTGAGCTGTCACAGGTGATGTATCCTTATTCTTCATTTTCAACTCTTCTTCTTCATCTATTGCTTACCTTTATCTTGGAAACAACAGTCTCACCTCATCCATGTATCGTTGGTTGTTCCCATTAACCAGCAATAAGCTTCGTGTTCTTGATCTCTCTGGCAACATGTTAGATGGGATACCCAAATATCTTGGAAACCTCTCTAGTCTCGAAACTTTATCCTTCTACAACAACTCTGCTGCTGTCAAATTTCCTGATTTTCTCAACAACTTGTCTGGATGCACATCCCTTTCATTACAATCCTTGCAAGCTTCATATAACCAATTTACAGGGCCACTGTCCGATGACATCCAAAAATTTTCATCCCTAAAACACTTGTACCTATCTCATAATCAGCTATATGGAAGTATAAGTGAGAAACTGTGGGAATTACCAATGCTTGAAGAGCTTGACCTTTATTTTAATAATCTTCAAGTTCCTTCCACATATCACTTGTCTGGCCTTTTTTTAATGTACGGTATATTGATCTGAGCTCTTGCAAGCTCCAACAGCCTCGCTTCCCCAAATGGATTCAGACACTCAAAAATCTTACTGATCTTGATCTTTCCAATACTGGAATTTCAGACACAACTCCTCTGGAGTTTTGGGACATGTGGCCTTCTCAATTAAAATATCTGAATCTCTCTTCCAACAACATTAGCGGGACAGTACCAGATTTATCATCAAATTTTGCCACTGGTTCAGCAATAGATTTGAGTTCCAACAACTTTTCTGGTCCAATACCGAATGTTTCTTCCACCTTGTCATCATTAAATCTTTCCAGAAACAAATTCTCTGGAGGAATCTCCCTTCATATGCCAAATTGTTGATGGATTATTATCATTTCTTGACCTCTCTCATAACTCATTAATCGGACGACTCCCTAATTGTTTGTGGAATTTCAAACACCTAAGAGTTCTTAATCTCGGACACAATAATCTCTTTGGAAGTCTTCCTCCCTCTATTGGATCTTTGATACAACTCAAGGTGTTGCATTTATACAAGAAACTTCTCTGGAGAATTGCCTTTGTCTTTAAAAAATTCCACGAGTTTAATCTCGTTAAATCTAGGGGCCAACAAGTTTTCTGGCAATGTGCCTGTTTGGATTGGGGAAAACTTATTGTGGCTGTATGTTCTTATCCTAAGATCAAACAGCTTCTTCGAAACCATCCCTTTAGAATTATGTCACTTAGCAAATCTTCAAATTCTGGACTTGTCAATGAACAATCTCCATGGAACCATCCCCTCATGTTTGAATAATCTTACGAGCATGGTTCAATAAGAAGGATTTTTAACAGATGTACTGTATTATACAAATTATGTTTTGGGTAGATATGTTGACCATGCTATGATTGAGTGGCAAGGAGATGAACGTGAATTCTTTAGCACTCTGAAATTGTTGAAGACCATTGACCTGTCAAGTAACAATTTAACAGGACAAATCCCATATGAAATTACCAATCTCTGTGACTTGGTTTCCCTGAATTTGTCAAAGAACTCTCTATCTGGAGTGGTTCCACAGAAAATCGGTGAGATGAAAAAACTTTTGACTCTGGATTTATCCAGAAACAATTTCTCAGGACAGATACCATCAAGCATGTCTCAGATGAGTTTACTGAATTACTTAGACGTGTCACTTAATAACATTTCAGGGAGAATCCCAACTAGCACTCAGCTCCAGTCCTTTCCACCTTCAAGATATGATGGAAACGCAAGACTATGTGGACCTCCCCTTACCAAAAAATGTCCTGGAGATGAAGAATCAGATGCAACATCAGTGATTGGTAAAAGTGAGGGTGATGGGGAAGACACAGATGATGAAGTCGAACTCTGGGGATGGTTTTATATTGGTGGGGGCATGGGTTTTGCTACTGGCTTTTGGATAGCATGTGGGGCTTTACTTCTCAACCGTCGTGGGAGACATGCATTTTTTCAGTTTTATGACAGCTTCAAAGAATGGGTTTGTGTGAAGATGGTTGTGGTCATTGCAAATTTGCAAAAGGCTATATATACGTAGTTTGTAATCTAATTTTTTATCTTTTGTCTTCTTATTTCCCAGTAAATTGTGAGTGGTTTTTAATCTCCCAATATCAATAAATTTGCCACTTAACATCCTGGATGAAAATTAGAGGTGAACAAAAAACCGATTTGAAAAAAGAAAAGCGAAAACCTGTCCTGGCCGATTTGATACAAACCGATACAGTCTGAATTGGAACATCGCTTTAGTACCATATTATAACAATAGTTTCAAGCATTTGAAATTATAAAATATTTAATTATTAATTATTTATATATTAAAACAAAACAACCCATTTTGGCTTCCACACAAATCGTGGCCAAACCTGTACCCCAATCATTAAAAACTTCTAAAACTGGATCATCTATCTTAACATCCTCCGGAAGAAAAGAAATATTGTATAAGATTATGAGCAAATCACATTATTGGTCCCTGAGTGTAACTTATTTTTCAGCTTTGGTCACAAAAAGTTTGTCTCTTGCAATTTTGTCCATGTTTGAGGTTTTTTATCGTTGTTCCTATTCCAAGTAAAATAAGCATATTTTTTGGGCCAAAAGTGTAATACATCAGTTATTGAAGAGACCATCATGCTTGGGATGTGGAAAGTCTATCAGAGGAGGCTGAAGCCAACTAAAAGGGAAGTGATTGTGAGGTGCACGTCATGATTTGATTTCCTAAAACGATTATTTTTAGTGTCGAAGAGTCAAATGGAGGACCTTCAACTTAGGAAGAGCTTTGAAAATAAAGTCACGTGGCCATTCCGTGAATATGGTCATAATAAACAATTTTTTTTGTGACAATTTATTAGCAAAACGCAACAGTGAAAATAAATTTATGTGGCCATTCGGTGAAGATGGTTATGTTTCGTTTAATTGTGTGTCTCTAAAAGATAGCCAATAGTCAAAATAAACAATTTTTTTTCTGTGATAAATTATTAGCAAAATACCATAGTGAAAATAAATTCATGTGGTCATTGGTTGAAAGACAATCACTAAAATAACTAAAATGTTTGTCTAAAAAAGGTTTACGACCACAGTATTGGATAAAATAATTGATTACAACAACAAAAATCAATATCTAATAGCCACATTTTTATGCTTCGATCATAATTTTCCATATGATACAACCACTAAAATTTAAAGTAACTGTATGTCGCCTAAAATGGCACGACCTTAGGTGCCACTTTGGATGAAAAAAGTGTATAGGCACGTGGTAACGGTTTTTTGGTGTGACCATTGCTCATTTTTGTACTAATGTAACCTAAACAAGGGTTGTTAGGGTTGTTGGATTGTTTTTAGTTAGTGTATAATTTTTAGTCAATTTTTGAAGAAACATAACTTTTTCGTACGAGGTCAGAATTTTTTTATTTTTTATTTATTTATTATTATTATTATTATTATTATTATTATTATTTTGCATCATGTAATTTTCTGTCTTAGCTACATGACTTAAAAACCACTTTAAATGGTTAACAATTACGTGAGTTACATAGACCTAAACATTATGGTCACAAAATGACCAAAATAGGTGGTCTCATTTAACTAATTATCTTTTTAACAAAATAACAAAAATAGGTGGTCTCATTTAACGAATATCTTTTTAACAAAATGACCACATATTTTCACAATAGAGAAAATGCAAAATTACCTCTACCAACAAAAGACTACAAAAATCATAAAGATAATTACATATGACGTCACATTTTTTCAGCATGTGATTTTTTGTATTAGCTACATGGCTTAAAAACCACTTTAAATGATTAAGAATTACCTCAGTTACATAGACCTAAACACTGGTCGTAAGAGTTGTTGCACTCTTTTTAATTAAGGGATGGTCACAAAATGACCAAAATAGGTGGTCTCATTTAACGAATATCTTTTTAACAAAATGACCACTTATTTCCGCAATAGAATAATTGTGAAATTACCTTTGCCAACAAAAGACTACAAAAATCATGAAGAAAATTGCAAAATTACACCATATTTTTCAAAATATGAACAATTTCACAGTATATTTTTAAATAACTTTTGTGATGGGGACTATTAATTAACTAATTTCATAATTTGGCTAATTTCATAATTTGCAATGCTTACGAAATTGATGGTCATTTTGTGTTTTAAGTAAAAAAAATATGGTCAACTTGTTAATTGTCATACAAAATATGTCATTTTATTCACATGTTTAATTGATTAAGTGTTTTAGAAGTCAAAATAGTTATTATGTATTTATTGTTTCTATTGTAAATTAAAACAATAAACATGTGATGGCCTCTATGTTTTAAGATACTTAAGTGTTTTTATTGAACTTTTGGAACATTATTGATGAATAAGATCGTTAAAATAAAGTTAAAACAAAAAATAACCAAAAATAACAAAATAAAAAGACAAAACTGCAAAAATGGTCCCTGTGGTTTTTCATTTTATGTGGCTACGGTCCAAACGTTTGAAAAGTTGCAGATTTGGTCCTTTTCAACAAGTTTTGTTGTGGTTTTAGTCCCTCATCCGTTAACTTCCTTAAAATGACAATTTTAACCCCAGGGACCATTTTCGCAGTTTTGTCTTTTACTATACTATAAGGACCATTTTTGCATACATTCTTTTTTATTTTAATGTAGTATTATATATTAATAGATATTATTTTTAATATATAATATTATATATTAATAAATATTTTTTATTGGATTATTAATTTATTTTAGTTGATTTTTTTTAAAAAAATATGTTGGAGTAATTCTTTTTTATTGAATTATTATATATCAATACATATAGTTTTTATATATAATATTTATATCATATAAATATTATATTATTGGATTATCATTTTTTTTGTTAATTTTTGTATTTTTAATTATTTTTTATTGTATTTTACTTATAATTTATTTTCTTATATACTAAATGTTGTTTATTGTATTATTAATTTATTTTAGTTAATTATATATTTTTTAATTTTTTTGGCGAAGTAATTATTTTTTTATTGAATTATTATATATCAGTACATATAGTTTTTATATATAATATTTATATCATAATAAATATTATATTATGGGATTATTATATTACAAAATTATTTTATTAGATATTAATTTCTTTTAGTTGATTCTTTTTATAATTTCTTTTTTGTTGGAGCAATTTTTTTATTAGATTATTATATATCAACAAATATTATTTTTAATATATAATATTTACATCATAATAAATAATACATTATTGGATTATTAATTTTTGTAATTTGTTTTTTTGAATTATTAATTTGTTGAAATATTACTTTTAATATATTATTTTTTTAATATAATAAATATTATCTTATTGGATTATTATTTATTTTTAATGTATACTATTAATTGTTTTTAATTTTATTAGTGTCACCACAAAGTCGTCGAAATACGTAAAAGTGTCGCTTATCATTGTCAAATATTGGCAGGATCACCTCCAAACATCTTCATTGGAGGTTCAATAGATACCCTACCCTATTCCACCTAGCGTTGTTGGTAGCCACCTGCGACAACCTCTTCATAATCCATTGGAATCCTTCATATCTCACATAATGCGCAACAAACCCCTATAACATTTATAAGTGGTAGTGGTGACCGAGTGATGGTGATGGTATTTTCCCTATGGTTTCTCATTATAAGCTAGATGAAATGAAAGTGTTTGGCAGCAATCCTAACGATTTCGATGATGAGAGACGATGGTTTTGCGTATCCCATGACTTTATGGTGGAACCAATAAAATTAACAAGAACTATTATTATAATTAAAAATAAATTAACAATCAAATAAAATAATATTTAGTATATGAAGAAAATAATAAATTAAAAGTAATAATCCAATAAAAAATAGTTTAAAAAAAATTACAAAAATCAACTAAAAGATAATAATAATCCAATAATATAATATTTATTATGATATAAATATTATATATTAAAAACTATATTTATTGATATATAATAATTCAATAAAAAAATAATTACTTCGACAATTGTTTTTTTAAAAAAAGAATTAACTAAAATAAGTTAATAATCCAATAAAACAATATTTAGTATATGAAGAAAATAATAAATTAAATAATCCAATAAAAATAATTTAAATAAAAAGAATTAAAAATTTTAACTAAAAGAAATTAATAATCTAATAATATATTTATTATGATATAAATATTATATATTAAAAACTATATGTATTGATATATAATAACTTAATAAAAAGAATTACTCTAACAAAAAAATTAAAAAAAATCAACTATAATAAATTAATAATCCAATAAAACAATATTTATTAATATATAATATTATATATTAAAAATAATATTTATTAATATATAATACTTCAATAAAATAAAAAAGAATGTATGCAAAAATGGTCCTTATGGTATGGTAAAAGACAAAACTGCGAAAATGGTCCCTGAGGGTAAAGTTGTCATTTTAAAAAAGTTAACAGCCAACCAGTTAAACTTAACGGATGAAGGACCAAAACCACAATAAAACTTGTGGAAAAGGACCAAATCTGCAACTTTTCAAACGTTTGGACCATAACCACATAAAATAAGAAACCACGGGGACCATTTTTGCAATTTTGTCAAATAAAAACGTGAATTTGAAACCCAAAATCAATGGTTTGGAATTTCCAAAATCAAAAATCGAAAATTTCGATTTCATTTTTGGTTTTAGTAAAAAAATCGAACTATCTTCACACTTGATAGTTAACAAACTTTTTCATAACAAAAAATTACTAAAAATAATATATTCATATTTTTTAAAAAAATGATGTTTTTTAAATATATTTTTAGTATGAATGGTTCGTTTGAAACATTCTAGAATTTTAAGTAATTTTTCTAAAAAAAATAGCTGAAAGTATAAAGATTATTATTAAATTTTCAAACAACAACAAAAAAAAAAAAGATAAAGTCACAAAAACTATATAAAACTTGAGGGTTTAAAAAAACTATTGAATTCTTAGTAAAGTTTGTGTTATCTATAGAAAAATTGTTATAAATCATCCACAAAATTCATATCTTAGCTGAAGTCTTTAAAATACTAAAATCTACCTCAACGATTGAAACCCTTATGATACTTTAAATTTCAAATAAATATCCAAATGCTATGAATTATAGATTTTGATGTCGGAACTTTTAAAAAAAAAAATTTAAAATACTCTTTTAACTTTAGATAAGCTTATGTTACAGTAGATGTATGTGCTATGTGCTTGACTGGTACATCACAAAAAATTAGGGATCCACGTCGCCACCGACCACCGTTGCCATGTTCTTTGTTCTCCATCAGGTAAATTGTCTCAGCGCATTTGTTCTTTCTGTTCTCTATTATCTGTTAATGGTGGGTTTATGTTTCTCTTTGAGATTTTATATTCAACGTCACTTTTTAATTTTTATATAAAGACCCAAAGTAATATCATTACTATTTTCAGCCGTAGATTTGTATTTGATTTCATTAGTCCGTTTGATTTTGGGATTTATATCACATTGCGCAAAACAAATAGAGCACGAGATGGGAAAAGATATAGATAGTAATTTTGGTCAATGTTTCATCTTTCATGGAAATTGCATATTGTATGCCCCACACAAACTGACCATCAATTTGAGCCACCCACTTAGAATCCTTCATGTTCCCACTTCACAGTGGAGAGTAGAGATCGAGTATATAAACCCTCATGGGGGCAGTTCATATGTCCAAAAAATCATCAAGATTTTCCATTATATTAATTATGAATCTTTGTGTTTTTATAATGTTCTCAATTCTCTTGCTACTCCTTGTGACTACAACTACCAGCCCATTAGTACCGGTGGGAGGAGATGTTAATCTGAAAAAGTGTTTGGATAAGGAGAGAGACGCCCTCCTTCTGTTCAAAGCTCCCCTTCAAGACCCTGATGGTCGTCTCTCTTCATGGACAGCTGACGAACATGACTGCTGTAAATGGAGTGGAATCACCTGCAACAACCAAACAGGTCATGTCACAGAGCTTGATATTTTCTTATATGGTCTTGGAGGTGAGATAAGCCATTGCCATTCATTGCTTAACTTAACCTACTTGAATCATCTTCGTCTTTCCATAAATTCTTTTCATGGAACCATTCCCACCTTCATTGGTTCTTTGACTCGATTAAGGTACCTTAACCTTGGCTCGAATCATTTTAATGGGACCATTCCCAGGTCAATTGGTTCCTTGACTGAACTAAGTTACCTTTCCCTTTCTTATAACTCTCTTTCTGGAACCATTCCTCCAGAGTTTGGAAACCTCACCAACTTGCAAGAGCTTTACCTTTCAAATGTTGGAAGGTGTAGAGTTGAAAAGGTAGAGTGGTTGTCTCATCTCACTCATTTGGAGGAACTTGATATGGATGGGATTTCCCTAGCAAAAGCAGAGAAATGGGTGGATGTAATTCTGAGTCTCCCGAAACTCTCATGGTTAAGTTTAAGGGGATGTGAGCTGTCACAGGTCATGTATCCATATTCTTCTTCATTTCTCAACTCTTCTTCTTCATCATCTATTGAGTCCCTTTATCTCAGTGACAACATTCTCACCTCATCCATGTATCGCTGGTTGTTCCCCTTAACCAGCAATACTCTTCAATTCCTTGATCTCTCTGGCAACATGTTAGATGGGATACCCAAATATCTTGGTAGCCTCTGTAGTCTGGAAACTTTGTACTTCTACAACAACTCTATTGCTGTCAAATTTCCTGATTTTCTCAATAACTTGTCTGGATGCACATCGGATACATTACAAAAGTTGTTCCTATCTGATAATCACTTAAATGGAAGTATAAGTGAGAAACTGTGGGAACTACCCAGGCTTGAATACATTGACCTTTCTTTTAATAATCTTACAGTTCCTTCCACATATCACTTGTCAAACATCTCTTATGTTAAGTATCTTTATCTGAGCTCTTGCAAAGTAGGGCCTCGCTTCCCCAAATGGATTCAGACACACAAAAATCTTACTGATCTTGATCTTTCCAATACTGGAATTTCAGACACAACTCCTCTGGAGTTTTGGGACATGTGGCCTTCTCAATTAAAATATCTGAATCTCTCTTCCAACAACATTAGCGGGAAAGTACCAGATTTATTATCAAATTTTGCCAAATATTCAGCGATAGATTTGAGTTCAAACAACTTTTATGGTCCGATACCGAATGTTCCTTCCACTTTGTTTTCATTAAATCTTTACAGAAACAAATTCACTGGAGGAATCTCCTTTATATGCCAAATTGTTGATGAGCTCTTATACTTTCTTGACCTCTCTCATAACTCATTCATCGGACAACTCCCTGACTGTTTGTGGCATTTCAAACAACTAAAAGTTCTTAATCTCGGAAACAACAATCTCTTTGGAAGGCTTCCTCCCTCTATTGGATCTTTGATACAACTCCAGGTGTTGTCTTTATACGATAACAACTTCTCTGGAGAATTGCCTTTGTCTTTAAAAAATTGCACGAGTTTAATCTCGTTGAACTTGGGGGCCAACAAGTTTTCTGGTAATGTGCCTGTCTGGATTGGGGAAAACTTAACAGGGTTGTATGTTCTTATCCTAAGATCAAACAAAATCTTTGGAACCATCCCTTTACAGTTATGTCAGTTAGCTCGTCTTCAAACTCTAGACCTGTCAATGAACAATCTCCATGGAAGCATCCCCTCATGTTTGAGTAATCTTACCAGCATGGTTCAACAAGGAGGATTCTCACAAGATGTACAGTATTATAGAAATGTAACTGATAATTCATTTGCATTTGAGACGTATGTTGACCATGCAATGATTGAGTGGCAAGGAGATGAACATGAATTCTTTAACAATCTGAAATTGTTGAAGATCATTAACCTGTCAAGCAACAATTTAACAGGACAAATCCCATATCAAATTACCAATCTTTCTGACTTAGTTGCCCTGAACTTGTCAAGGAACAATCTATCCGGAGAGATTCCACGGAAAATTGGTGAGATGAAAAAGCTTTTGACTTTGGATTTATCCAGAAATAATTTCTCAGGGTGGATTCCATCAAGCATGTCTCAGATGAGTTTACTGAATGACCTAGACTTGTCATTTAATAAATTATCTGGGAGGATCCCAACCAGCACTCAACTCCAATCCTTTCCACCTTCAAGATACAATGGAAACGCACGTCTATGTGGGCCTCCCCTTACAAAAAAATGTCCAGGAGATGAAGAATCAGAATCACCACCCATCATTGGTAATGGTAAAAGTGAGGGTGATGGGGAAGACACAGATGATGAAGTCGAACTCTGGGGATGGTTTGTTATTGGTGGGGGAATGGGTTTTGGTACTGGATTTTGGATAGCATGTGGCGCTTTACTTCTCAACCGTCGAGGGAGACATGCATTTTTTCAGTTTTATGAGAGCTTCAAAGATTTGTTTTATGTGAGGGTGGTTGTGTTCATTGTAAATTTGCAAAAAGCTAGACAGATGTAGTTTGTTATCTAATATTTTTATTTTTGACTTCTTATTTTCCAGTATATAGTGTAACTTGTCAGTGTTTATTAATCCCCCAATATCAATGAATTTGCCACTAACACCATGGGTGGCCAATATTTATTTTTGACTTCTTATATCCTGGTATATAATGTACTGTTTTAAAATATTATAACAATAATTTTAAGCATTTGAAAAAGGATAAAATATTTAATTATTAATCTTTTATATATTAATACAGAACAACCCATTTTGCCTTTCACACAACACGTGGCCAAACCTGTTCCTCTTGTACACCATTAAACACCTCTGCAACTCTCAACTGGATCATCTATCTTAATACCTGAATGAAGAAAAGAAACATAAGATTATGAGCAACTCACATTTTTGGTCACTTGACTATAGCTTATTTTTTTCAGTATCGGTCACAAAATGTGTCTCTTGCAATTTGGTTAATGTTTGAGGTTTTTGTAACATTGTTGCTATATGTTCTAAGTAAAATAAGTATATTTTTGGGACCAAAAATAAAGAAGATCAGCTATCGATAAAGATTCTCAGCCCAATCCCTTCCTTGAACAGCCCACCAAGCTTAGAATGTGGAAAGTCTATTAGAAGAGGCTCAAGCCGCATGTAGGGGAATGATGACATGAGTGTTATTTGTTAGAGGAATATTATATAGGGACAGCGATCCATACACAACAATTTATGTTTTCAAAAGATTGTATAATTTATATATTGTACAACCTTCTAAAATATAATTTCTAAAGTATAAATTGTTATGTATGACAAAAATAGTTGTATACAGATCAATAACCATTATTTAGTGGAGCATAATTGTGTCCTAAAAAGATCATTAGGGATTGTAATCAGCCTTGTGGCTTAGACCACAAGAACTTCTTTAAGTTTTTTTGTTTATACAATTTGATTAAAAGTTCATCCTCCCTTCTTATCTATCCTCCATTTTTCCTGTTATTGTCTTAATATTCTTATCATTCATAATCGACGGGGAACAAAAAAAAAACATTTTACTTGGAACAAGGACAAAAAAAAACATTACAAAAACCTCAAATAAGAACCAAAATTGTAAGAGAAATTTTCTAGGACCAAATTTGAAAAAATTAGCTATATTCAAGGACCAAAAATTGTAAATAACTCTTAGCATTTATTAACAAATCATTAAGTTAGTTTTTCTAGCTTTCTTAGAATCATGCTATTAGATCGGTAAATTGTTGTTTCTCCATAAGTGACACTGTGATATGGATTTCCCCATCGGACCTATAAGTTTTATATAAAGTAAGTATTTTAAATCTTGTCAATATATTTTGTCATTAATAAACCTTTTTACTACCTTTGCAACATCATCTGTCACGTAACAAGTCAAACAATGGTTAGAATCGTAGAATTGTAAATTAATAAAAATGAGGACTAATCATTTTACTTACTGTAAATCCAACTCTTGTTGATGCCATCATACATCTAAACCTAGTAGAAGATGTCACACCCCCAAACCGGAACGGAGGAAACGTTCGGGGCGGAAGACGTCATGTAGAGTTTCACAACAATTGTATAATAGTAATCAAGCAACAACCATCGTATTAATAATATAAAGTTTACATTGTGTTCAAAACATTGCATGATTTACATTAAAACTATAGCAAAAGATAAGACGTAATGCTACTAAGCTCCGTCTTCGCAACACCTGAGAGGGTACCTGTCTACTAACGTTTCTGAGAATACAAGTGGTTTGAAAAAGTGTCAACATTAAAGTTGGTGAGTTCATAAGTATTTTTGTTATAAAAAGTATACTCTTTGTTCTTTGGAAAAGTTCGTCTGTTCCTCCAGAAAATCTTATATTTTCTTAATGAGTAATATGACCATAACCGTTCCTTCTGCAATCATTTAGTGAATACAAATTATATATAATACAGATCGAATAGACAGTTGAATGTGTGGATTTGCCCTAAGCCCACAACCAAACAAGGAACAGGAAGTAAGGCGGAAGTCACACATTCCACTGTCTACCGGATCTTCATTATATATAACTCTAGCTTATTCACCAAGTAATCACAGAATTAACATTAATGATTCTTTTAGATATGATGAATGTGTTTCCTTCAGAAAATCCTATATTTTCTTGGTAAAATGGTAACCACAATAGTTCCTTCTTCAATCACTTAGTTTATACTAACTATATATAACCTAATATCAAACGGACAGTTGAATGTGTGAATCTGCCCTAAGCCCACAATCAAACAAGGAACAGGAAGTAAGGCGGAAGTCACACATTCCACTGCCTATCGGATATTATTTATATATAACTCTGATGTATAAACTAAGGAATTATAGAATTAACCATTAAAGGTCCTTTATGTTATACTAGTTTGTAATAAGTGTTGAACCTTTTGTAAATATGTTCCTAATTCCACTTACTCTATTGTGAAACATTGTTTTCAGTAATAATTGTTATTGTTTTCAGAAAGTTAAATTGAAAACTGTTTACCTTTAAAATAACGATGTTTATCATAGAAAATCCTATATTTTCTATAAAAACTGATTTGTAGTTTTAATCGTTCCAAGACCGAAAAGCACAAGTATAATTACTATACTTATTTTAATGATATCTAGTTTTGTTTATAAGTTAAACTAGCTGAAGATTTGTTTGCCCTGAAAACCTGATGCGACGATACTACCCTCCTATGATCACTTAATACATACGAGTTGTATATAACCGAGATCGAACAGACAGTTGAATGGGTGAATCTGCCCTAAGCCCACAACCAAACAAGGAACAGGAAGTAAGGCGGAAGTCACACATTCCACTGTCTACCGGACTTCAATTTTATCTAACCCTATTGTATATACTGAGTAATCACATAGTTAATATCCCTTGAGATTGTTTAAGAAAAAGTATATTACTACGTAAATATATCATTGTTTTCTCCTTGTGAGTTCTTATGACCATACTAATTGATATGACGTGAATCGGACGTCGATATCGTTTATGACGTTTGTCACCCGTAGACCTGCCAGTCCAGCGAGGTGAGGTATTGTCGGTCCCATATAGATCTATACACAAACTCACGCTCTCCCTCCAGGATACTCGGGTTCATAAGGTTAGACTTCCACTGGTACTTATGTAAGTACACGAAGACGTGTCTCACAAACTAAATCAACGACTTTACAAGTAATAATGTGAAAACCTTTTTATAAATAACAGGTAATTTTGTAAAAAGATCCGTTTGTTCCATAAACTATACTTATTATAGTTTATAAGTTTATTTCCATGTTTTAACCTGGACTTTGTAAAATAGTTCATATCATCCATAAACTATACCTATTATAGTTTATAAGTTTATTTCCATGTTTTAACAAGTTTTACGTTTAAATACATATTAAGGGTAAGGAAAACATAATAAGTAAATTATATTTTAAAACACAATATTTCTTGTGTTATACTTGTATTCCCCCCCCCCCCACCTCCCTAAAAACATTGAAAAAGTTTGGAAAAATATGGGGGTATGAACTCACCTTATGTGTGGTAACATTTTTGAATACGGAATAGAAACGGTGACCTTTGGGCTAGATTACGAGAAGGATGTCGTGTTCCTAATGGTTTTAAACACACAATAGTGTATGAATAATTGGATCTTAACAACACAAGTGTTTTCATAAACACTAAGTAATATGAATTAATACTTACTTACAGTGAAGAATTTCCTGGGAAATGACTTGAGTTTTCTTACGAAGTTTGAAGGTTTACTGGGTGAATACTTTGATACTTGAGAGCATATGAAACAAATAAGGTTTGCAAATTTGAGAGATAATGAAGGTGTTTACGTTTTTTGAATGTGCAAATGAATTCATTTGCACTTTAAATATGGAAGTAACTTAAATATGAAGGAACTCATGAGGCGGTGAATGTGAGGTTTACGGATCTAATCTCAATGGGAAGCTAAATTAGATAAGAATTGAAGATATTTAGGAGTGTTTACGCCCAAATAAGAGCTTTGGTTTGTGTTCACGGTCACCTCTTGGTCGTGAACACCATTTGTTCTTTTAATTCCAACTGTGAACACCTTGATCTTTATCCCTTTAGGCCGTGAACTCTTATGATCTTTAAGCTTTAAGGTCGTGAACTAAAAGATCCTTGGATCTTTGGACCGTGAACACCTTTGGTTCACTTTATTGGACCGTAAACACCTTTGATACTTCATACTTAGGCCGTAAACTCCTTGTTCTATAAGTCTAGGGCCGTAAACTCCATTATGGTGGGGTATTTTGTGTTTTAAACTTTTATACCTTGACTTATATCAACATATATTAGCTTAAATCAACTTAGATTTAAGCCCATACGTAGTTACTAGCTTATAAACATACCCTTAAGGAAATAGAGGATATAATGCAATAAGGATTGCAATGAGGTTTCACTTGTACTAAGTTAGGGTTTAGACCTTGTTGGCTCTAAAATTTTCGGATTGTGACAGAAGACTTGAAAGCAGTTTTTTTTAATCCTTATATGTGGAATCCAAATAGATGATTATAAAGCTAGAAGAATGATGATTATTATAGAATCGCAAGTCATGCAACAATGACAATCACAAAATCATATATATATATAATACCCGAAATCCTCCAAACATCACTTTAAAGTTCACCTTCCACAGTTCAGCTTGTAGGGTGTTCATGGAGTTAACCATCCGATTAAATTGTAATCCGGACCATTGTTGGATATCCCGAAACCTTTGAGTTGGATTTCTTAATGCGCCCAATGTCTTTGTGACTGCATTTCTTCCATAGTAACACACACCATATGATGTTCGTGCGCAACGAGTAAGGTTGTAAACGAACTGAACTTTCAGCGAACCGTTCAATAGGATGTTCATGTATGTTCGTTCAACAAGAAGTTCATGTATATTCATTTATTAAATAAAGGGTTATTGTTAGAAAAGTTCCATTATTTTGGTCTAGTTTATGGAAAAATCTCAAATTTTAACTTTTGA